ACCCCTTGTTTAGTCCTTTTTTGTCTAATTATGTTCACCTGTTCCTCATGCTCTCTACTCCCTTTATATTGAGTTCATTTTCCACTTGTCTTTGCCGGTTCATCATTCTATCTTTCGTGTGCATGTCTAGCTAATCTTGTTTAGTGCATGATAGAGGTTTTTTATACATAGTCTAGTCAGGGCCAGTGCAAGCTGAACTGCTGCTCTAGGCAAAGGACGGTCACGTCGCCCTCAAGCCTAAAGTGGGGGCGGGGAGGGGAAGCTGTCGCAAACTCTATTCTCTCTATTCTGCCACCCTAGACGCGGATATAACTGAGGGCGTGGGTGGTAAGGGTAGTGTCACGAACGCCTTTCAGCAAGGTTGCTGTCATTTTCAATTTTAAATTCTGTTTGTAGTTCAAGACTGATTTCAAGTTTTCATTTAGCCATTTTTGTTATCCTCAGCCCCAGTCTAGCCTTAATCTTTTGTTAGTTCTTTATTTTTAAATTCCTGTTCCTGTGTTTTGCTTTGTTTTATTTCTAGCTATAGCTTATTTCCTTCGGCGTTTTGTTAAGTTTTGGTAGTTTTATTTAGTTCCTTGTTTGTTTAATTTTATTTCTCGCTTTTTCCCCTTTTGAATATTTATTATATTTACTTTGTTCTAGTGTTTTTTTTTTTTTTTGCTTTCTCTTCTTTTTAATTTTCTTGTCTCTCCAGCTGTCTTGTCCTGTTGTGTTGCTTGTGTCCCTTATTGCCTCCTGAGTCTTCGCTGATTGTGGATCCCCTTGACTTGATCATCCATCCAATTGTCACCCCTGTCCCAAACCATAGGTCCGGCTAGCTATTCATTGACTGCTTGGCCTGAAGTTTGGAATTTCCTCTTTCCTGACAGGCGTGTCACCCCCTTAAATCCTGAGTCTCCTCCCCTCACCAGCCTGTCCTTCTGCCATAACCCTGCACTATTGACTGTAAATAAACCTTGTGTTCTCCTGTCAATTCTGTGTTTGGGTCCTCCTTGCCAACTGTGACAGATTTGTGCCTCAAAAAACGTTTGCACTGGTTTGGAGTCTGGGATATTAAGCATTATTTTTTCCCTGTGTGACATCTACTTTCCATATTCAAACCATTAAATATTACCACAGGTTACTTGTGCTTGATTTGTGCATGAACAAAGTATTGAGCAAAGGCTGTGACTACTTATGCACATGTGATTTATTTATTTATTTTTGTTTTTTGTTTGTTTTTATTTTTTTTTTCAAAAATAACAATTTCAAAAAATCTTATTTTTTTTCGCATCGTCATTATTTGCTATTGTGTGTAGATAATTACTGAAATAAATGAATTTAAATAACGTAAAAAATGTGGAAAAAGTTAAGCGCTATGAATACTTTCTGGATGCACTGTATACCTAAAAATTTATATCTAAAATTCATTTCAATTTAATTTTAAATAAAAAAGTGATTTAGCAATCGTTACTGCATCCCGAATGTTAAATAAATGACTAATGAATAGGGCTACAAGGGTGTTTCAACTGTTTGTGTAAGTGTGTGAGTGTGTGTCCTTGTGCAGGTGTGTTTCTTTTACCAGCTGTTTGTGTCCATTGTTTTAACACTGAAGCTGCTCTCTTCCAAAAACTAAAAGTTACTTCGTCTGTCTGGAAAAAAAAGACTTAATAAACTGAAAAGCCAATGGAATGAGCCAATATTCAAATTTTGCAACAGAAATGTAATACATCAAATAAGGTATAATCTTACCCAGCCATCAAATTCAGATGCCACACAAGTGAAAAGCATCAGTTGGCTGGTACCAACTGATATTTACAATGACTAAAGCCTTTCTGAAATCTGTCAAAAAGGCTATCAAGTTAAGGAGATATGTAAAACACAATCAGAGCCTATATTGTACCAACAATAATAAAATTGTAAAGGTGGCTAGTTTGTACTTATTTTAGCATTATTTTATAAACATGCTTAGCTTATTTCAGCTTCATGCCTACACTGCCAGTAGCCATTCAATGAATAGCATTTTACTGTGTGCTGGGTTAAACATATTTTTCAATAAATGTAGTACTTCTCTCTCTTATATCAGATATGCAATCCATAACATAACAGAGCTGTAGGCCTATATGCAATGTGTAAAGGCCGGTTTATACTATGTTATAACCCACGGTGCATACCTTGCAAGTTGTTGTGCTTTTATAGTTCTGCGTAAAGTAAAAATAAAAAATAGAAGACATTTTAAAAAAGACAATATGCATATCAGCAACACTTAAAATGGGAGCAGTTACCAACCTCTCAAAAATTTTTAGACAGCTCTGCATGTCCGTCTTTTAAGTGCTTCGCTAAATCAATTGTAATAATGCATTTACTTAGCATTGCTTTGTAGCTAATTACTGCTACTGCTGATGCTGAGAGAGCATAGCCAGCAGAGCAGGAAGGCAGTGTTGCATCATCCATATCTATTTTTACAGTCTGTGGTGTGAACACAGTGTGATGCAAATGTGTCACGGTTGCAGGTTTGTGCGCTTCTCCGGAGTGTATGTTTGATCACGTGGGTTTGTTTTGTTTTGGTTGTCCATGTGGATTTGTTATGCTCACGTGTTATGACGACACTCAGTTGGTCTGATTAGTTCGCCAGCTGAGGCTCATCATGGTGCCTATATCTGTGCAACGCTTTTGTGTGTCTGTGTCAGTTCGTTACTATCACTTATGTTTGTGCTGTCTGTGCTCAGGCCCTGAGGAGTTTGTCTGGATCTGGTTTCCCCGTTCTGTTCCTGTCCTGTGTTCTACGTTCATCTAGCCTGGCACTATTTGTTTTATTGTCAGATTCTAATAAACATTGTCACTTGCAATTGGATCCTCTCTGACTCTCATTCGAAACATTACACAAATGCATATACCTGACCAGTCACAGACATTTCTGCTGAGCATGTAAATGCAAGAGCCAGTGAACCTATGACTTGATTCCTCAGTGCCTATAGTTCATCAATCCATCTGACTCCACCTAGATTTGAGGATTCTCATTTGAGAGGGGCTTAGCTCCTATATATATTTAGGCTTCACTTGGATGATAGCCTAATATTACATTTATAAGTAGTAATTTATTAATAATATACTTAAAATGTTTGGTTAATATGGTAGTGTTTTATAATAGTATTTCACTGTATAACACAGACAGGCACAGTCATTTGAGATCTGAATAAGCCAACTAGGCTCAAACCATCTGTTTACTGTAGTAAAAACTACTTTTTATATTCAAGTGCATTTTTGTTTCCATGTATTAAACAAATAAACTGCCACTTTTCTAATTGAATGGCATACATATAAATATATATTTTAACTTACAGGTTAATTCACATATTTCACGATCTGAAAGATATAAGAAGTCATTTTTTTTAATACTAGACAAGATGTTTCTCTGTCAGTGACTGTTAGTTAAAATGAGTACATTATCTAAGTGCTTTTGTCACTGTGTTTAATCCTTTCTGTGCAACACTGTATGATATAGTTAATGCCACACGAACTGTAAAGTGTTTATTATTAGTAGTTCATTTTGAAAAAAAATATTGTTCAATAAGAGTTACATTTTTCACTTGAGGAAACAGCTGTGCTGATGAGGTGAACGCAGAGAAAACTCGACTGCTCCTCCATGACATTAGGATACAGGTGATACATGGTTATCTATATCAAATAACTGCAAATAAGCAGATATTAATTTATCGATAAACACACACCTCGTTCTCTCGCTGTCCACGGCTGTAGTTTGCTGATCAAATGAAAAGCAAAAGACGAGAAGGAGCCAACATCTGCCATCGTTTTCATATCAAGTTTAAAGGGGACTGAGGCAATAATTTAGTGTACAGTTTATGAGCTAATCGCAAAAGTTTTAGGGGTGCCGAATAGAAATATAGGGGAACTGCAGCCCCCCTAAAATAGGCCTAGCAATGCCCATTGTGCTTGATTACTTGTGCTTGATTTGTGCATCAACAAAGTATTGAGCAAATGCTGTGACTACTTTTGCACATGTGATTTATTATTATTTTTTTTTTTAGGTTTTTATTTTTTAACAAATTTGCAACAATTTCAAAAAATCTTTTTTCACATTGTCATTATGGGCTATTGTGTGTAGATAATTGATGAAATAAATGAATTTAAATAACATAAAAAATGTGGGAAAAGTGAAGCGCTATGAATTCTTTCTGGATGCACTGTATACCTAAAAAATTTAAATACTGTAATAATACTGTAATAATCTTGATGCACTGTATACCTAAAAATTAAACTTTAAATTAAAATTTAAAAATTGAATACCTATAATTCATGTAAATTCCTCTTTACCTAAATAGGTCTACCAATGCCCATGAGTCTGGCAACTGGTGCAGAACATTTAGCATGCTAGGTATTTGATTTCAACTGTGAGGTGTTGGCTATGTGTGAACAAGCCTCTTTGATGCACCATTCAGCAGTTTACACAAAGATGTAACATAGCCCAGAGTGCTGATTACCTGCTGATTTCCCCACGATCACAGCCTAATCAGTCTTGTTAACTTGAAAATTGGGTTCTAAATTCTATAGTGTGAACTATGCATAAGAAGTGCAGACTCGAGCCTTACAAATTAAGGTATAGCATAACGCAACACTGGCAGGGATGAAATTTGAACATGCATATAAACATTTTAACATATTTAAATATTTGGTCATGGCTGGCCAAAATCTGCAAGAAATTAAAAACTCCTTTGCATTATGCAGCATGTTTTATGATTGATTTTTGTGTTAAATTCAGCAATCACAGTGTAACAGATTTGTGGAGGGACTGTTCAGCTCAACAGCTGTCTTTTTTCTGTTTATCATGAATTTCATAATGTAAATTCTTTTTAGTCTGTGATAGCCATAATATGGTCAGGAAATTTGACATTTTGCTTAAAGTGGGAACCCTATATTAGTTCACTGTTAGATAGAAAGTCTCAAAATGTGTCAAACAGACTAAATGGCCATTGAAATGTTTTCATTTTTTTTTGCAGCTTGCATGGACGATATCACGAACTGGCTCCACATTTGGTTCCAATGGACTACACTAATGATCCTGATGTTAAAGTTCCTTTAGCTCTCATAGTCAACATGCCGGAACTAAAGGTAATTACATTACTACTTTGCAATTTACTACTTTTAGGATTTAGTAAGGTTCTGATTGGATTGGGATTTGTTTATATCACTTCTTTTTAGTTTCTTTTTAAATTCAGCATGAGATATTTTAGCACTTTAGGTTTTCCATGGTTCTATAGCACTAACCTTTGGAATGAAATTAAATAGAGGACAGTGACGTTGACCTTGACTGGGGATTGGTTCACCACAACTGTTGTTGGACAGTGGAAGGAATGCTATTAGGATCTTCCAATTCCACTGACATGCTTTCTATTGAGGAAGCAGAGCCAGGGAGGCAGGGGTTGACTCACCCATTACTGAGACACTGAGGTAGCTTACAAGTTGCTCAGTGGCAGGCAGCGGAGATGGATCAGATCTGCCCTGTAGACTCTGGATGTTGTGGGGCGATCTTGGCTGAAAAGCCTCTGCAAAATTGCGTCTAGGTCAGCAATAGTACCCCTGCACAGCTCACCAGGGGTGGGTCTCAATTTTTTATGAAAGGGGTCTGAAAAGTGTGTTCCTACTGTGGGGCGATCAGACTCCTCAGTATTTCTAGAAAAGTTTATGATGGCTAATAGTTACAATTTTTTTCCAGGTTGTGGAACTCTAGACCAGCTCTATACCCTCACTAGAGTGCTCGCTGTGCAAAGCCAAAGCTCTCAATTTACCAGTAAATCTATGTTTCTACTTTCACCTGTGGTCATGAGTTTTTAGTCATGACTGAAAGAACACGCTTGCAGATTAAAGCAACCAAAATGAGCTTACTTTGCAGAGTTAGGGTGAGGAGCTCTGTGACCTGGGAGGAACTCGGAGTAGAAATTTTAAAACTGTATGAAGGTTTAAGTTTAAATTATTCAGGTTTTATTCTAACTCTGTTGTATAAACTATTTCATTGAGATCTTTAACATCCTCATAATTATTTATTACAATGGCAAGCCAACGAGCAAAGATTTTTCAGAAAAAAAGCAAGAAAAGGTAAGAAAAGCAGATTTTAGATGTTCAGTTTTAGTAGAAGGAGTTTTCACGTCCATTTTATACAATTTTGTTAAAGAAATAAATTTATCGACCCAATGTTGCATTTTGGCAGAGTTGTATTTGAATTGTTGTTTCTAATGTAAAGTGAAACAAAGTTGTAAGTTTCTAACATTATGAAAACAGAATTTTGAAGTTCTAATATTTATGTGGAAATGCTAAAGTAACTGACCCAAAGCATTCGTGGGTAGTTTGACACACAATGAATAATTTTGCCTGATGTACTGTGGCAGTGTTTTAATCTTGATAATCTATTTTAAACTCAAATTACTGTGGCTAGTTTAACTGTTTTAAATTGCATTACAAAGACCCAACATAGTTTGTGTTTTGTCTGATGACATGGTTACATTTGAAACACATTTAAGTGTAGTTTGTACTTGAGGGCAGTGAAGTGTGGCTGTGTTTACACCAGAGAGACACTGAATTACAGACTAGTGTGGCTTTTGTTCATTTCCATCCAAATTGCAGGGATTGTGAATATATATATTAAAATCTTAAAATTTAAATAAAACAGCCTTTTGAATTTATAAGGAAAATGTAATGATACATGATCATTAAATGCAATGAAAACCATGGTTCAGTGGGAACATTTAATTTTTAATGAAACATTGAAAATATTCTTCAAGTTGTTCATGAATCATACAAAGTAACTAGAATGGTTGTAGAGTCGGTAGAAGCTGAAAATGAGAGACTTCGTGTTGGGGTTATTTCTACAAAAATAAACAGGTTTGTGGAAGGAAGAAAAGATCAAATGCAGAATAATATGGCATTTTTTACACCAAATATTGACGCCTTGTCAATTTTCCATAAAAAATGTCAAAACAAATAAAAACACCCGTGAGAGATTGTTTAGTGTGAACAAGATATTGAGGAATATGAGGGATGGGTAAAAGATTTCCAGTTAACCAGCAGTCAATGCTCAGACTGTATGGTTTGATTTCCTGTTGTTCAGTCGAATATCAATGACCTCTACCATGTTCAGATAGTTTAACAATTTAAACTGATGGCTTTGCTCAAGCAGTGTGTCTTGTCATTGCCAGGCATGCCTTCAGCTGAGTTAAAAACATCAAATTTCAGAATGCCAAAAATGCACCATGTTGTATGACAAAAACAATGCAACCAATCAGCTTCACACTTTGTATAGATTAAACATGTGAATGTTATTTTATGCTTGCCTATGACAACTGTAATTAAGTGTAATTTGCTCCGTTATGTCATTTTAAATGCAAAACTGTGTATTGAATTAAGCTCATAAAATTATGAACATTAATAGTTAATTATAACAAGGTATTATTTAATTTGGTATATTTGGATTGACTTTATTGTTAAAGGTAGCCAAATCAAAATTATATTAAATTGAACTGCTCATCTGTTAAAGCCTACAATTTATTTGTCTGTTAATTTAAAGATCAAGTAAAATTTTTAACCGGAAAAAATTTTCTTACTACATTAACAGATTAGTACAACCTATAGCTTTATCTGTAAGTTCAAGTAACTTGTTCTGTGTGTAAAAACAAGGGAAAAAGTACAAATAAAACATATATTTACAACATGCATGTACGAGAGAGAGAGAAGGAGAGAGAGTGAGAGAGAGAAAAGGCCGAAAAGGCCCCATGAAATTAGAAATTCAAGAGAAGACTGAGAAAGTTGCAATGTAACATGAATAACCTTAAACCAATAATCAGAGAAAACAGAATCCCCTTGTTTTAACAAAGAAAATGATAAACTATCATATTTTATATCTAAAATCACACTCGCATAGGTTCTTTGTTTGTGGCTTATGCAATGTAGCACACTTCCATGTTGCCTGGAAGTTTCTTGACAAGTCGCTGCTAGCTCTTCTCCATTTTGATTGGTTGATCAGCATTCTTGTGAGGTTATGAATTTAAATTAGAGATGTATGATATATCGGCGGGAATATCGTTATTGGCCGATAAATGCTATTTTTAAGATTATCATTATCGATCCAATGTCTAAATTTGGCCGATTTCTTTAAGCTGATAAATGACAGAATTGTACAGACCTGCGCTCGCGTTAGCTAGCCACCCAGTCCGCTGGCCTGGCACATGCAAAGTTATGTGTTGAGCTACTTCACTTCCATAAACTCAAACGATGCAGTTTGTGACATGTGTAACAAAACAGTGAGGTACTGTGGTAATACTAAAAACCTAATGAAAAATCTATATAGAAAGCCTAAGACAGAATATGACAATGCCATGACTAGGTGGTCAGAGGAGGAGGAAAGGAGTGGCACAAGTGCTGCTGGGGCAAGACAAACATCGCTTTCTGAGTCCTTAGGTGCAGCAGGCAGACGCCATCCAGGTACAGAGGAAGAAAATGCGGTGATGTGGCTGTATTAGGGGTCTTGGGTTTTTTTGTGACTGATAAAACAACGAAAAAAAAGTTAAACTTTCATGGGAACCGGATTAACATGCCACTAAATGTAGAAGTGTAAATGTTTTTTTTTTAATGTTCAGGCAGGCGTTTTAAGACATACTCAGATGCTGCCCATAAATAATATGTAAGTTGGCTTTTTGTATGATAATTCTTCATCAATAAACAAGAATAACCAGCAATATGGTTCATATTCAGTATTAAGTGACACTTTTATGTACCATACTTGTTATTTAAATTTCCCAATGAGCAGTATCGGATCGTTATCGCTGATACTCGTCTTCATTTGACTTGGTATCGGATCGGATATTAAATCAGTGATATCGCACATCACTAATTTAAATATATCTATAACTATTGGAAGCATTTAAATGCCACCCTCGTCACCAATAGAGTCATTCGATTGCTTGATTGCAACAATTAATTCTATTTTTGGTAAAAATGAAATTACATTACTTAGTGATTTTAATAAAAAAAATTCATTAGATAAATTATCAGCTAAAGAAAAAATATATAATTAATAGTTTAAATCTTATTCAGCTAATTAATTAGCCAACTAGAGTTACTACAAGAACCCAGTCACTTCTTGACTGGATACTTGTTTCACATTCTAATAGGTTTTTAAGGGCTGGTGTGATGTCTGACTGGTTTAGTGATCATTGTATTATATTTTGTGTATGGAAAATTAAATGATCTAAATTACCTCCAATAATAATTAAAATTAGACAATATAAAATTAACTTAAATTTATTTGTAAATTATTTGATTTCTATTATTGGGGAAGACTGAATTTGATTCCTAATGTTCAGGATGCATGAACAATTTTTTATACAGAGTTCATTAATTTTGTGGACAAGCACGCTCCCTGGAAAACTATTAGGGTTTGGGGCAATCATCTTCCTTGAATCAATTCTGGACTTCTTAGGCCCCGTTTACACTAGTGCGTTTTAGTTTTAAAACGGCGTTGTAGAATGAAAACGATCCGCGTCCACACTCGCGTTTTACCCAGCGTTTCTGAACAGCTCTCCGTCCACACCAAAACGCTGAAAACGCACATCACGTGACCACACACACACTCTCGGGCAAGCGCTCCAGCTTTTTAACCCAGATGAGAGCTCTGCTTGTCGGACTGCTTATCACGCATCTCCCGCTGGATCTAATCTCACTATATTTGCTAAACGTGATATTTCATTCATGTTGTTGTCTTTATCTAACGACATAGGCCAATTCCCTGACGTTGGTCATTGGAATCTATTAAGTTACTTGTTCACAGGTAACATGTTTTGGTTAAGCGCAAAGATAAGTTAATGATTAATCCAGGTACATTGACTGATCGCTTGCCTTTATTTCCTACAATGTATAAACTTATTGTATGTTATACTTTTATAATTATCGATTATTAAAACTGATATTCAGCAAAAGAGAGGGTGCGTTTCGTATTTTCACTGAAATTGAAAGGAGGCAGGTGTTATCGGCTCCGTTTAGTTATAAATATGCACACAGTGAAGATGACGCTTATATATGCAGCACGGCGCCTCAACATTTCTGCTGTCTGTTATAGGCAG